AAACTATTTTAGTCATTATTATAGACCTATTTTAAGAAATCTTTGGTAAATTTTTCATAGTGACAGTTGTCTTAATTGATGGGAAGCCTAGAAGGATCTTACATACACCTAAAAATGACTATCCACATAATGCATATTGTAGGGATCTGAAAAACTTGTGTGTCAAATATTTTTTTAAATTATTTTTATCATTATTTTAAGGCTAAGTTTAATGGCTTTATTTTTAGAGATTTTTACCTATTTCACTTTCGATTTTTGTAGTTCGTTCCCCTCAGGAAAACCCTATTAGAGATGATGGATTTCCTGTTAAAGGTTGTGATGACATCTTGGTGGTTGGACTGGCAGTATGCTGGGGTGGAAGAGATGCCTACTATTTTTCATTGCAGAGGGAACAGAAGCATTCTGGTAAGTAATCACTATTTGGCTAAGTCACTATATAATTTTAATGTAACCGCTATGAGGATAGTGACTTGTTTGTTGAGAACAGTTCCTTGATATTTGCCTAGAATTTATTTTTTAGAATTAAAAAAAAAATTTTTAATAGTGACTGTTATGTACATTACATCATATATTAACTGGAGTGATGTCCTTTTTAAATTTATTTTTTTGATTGAAGTATAGTCGGTTTACAATATTGTATCAGTTTCTGGTGTATAGCATAATGTTTCAGTCATGCATATACATACGTATATTCCTTTTCATATTCTTTTCATTACAGCTTACTACATGATACTGAATATAGTTCCCTGTGCTATACAGTTTAAACTTGTTGTTTATCTATTTTATACATGGTAGTTAGTATATGCAAATCTTGAGCTCCCAGTTTATCCCTTCCCACCACTCCATTCCCTGACTGGTAACCATGTTTTCCATGTCTGTGAGTCTGTTCCTGCTTTGTAAATAGGTTCATTTGTGTCTTTTTTATTTTTTTCCACATATAAGTGATATCATATGATATTTTTCTTTCTCTTTCTGGCTTCACTTAGAAAATGACAACCTCTGTGTCCATCCACGTTGCAGCAAATGGCATTATTTTATTCTTTTTTATGGCCAAGTAGTATTCCATTGTATATATATAACCACAACTTCTTTTTCCAGTCATCTGTCGATGGACATTTAGGTTGTTTCCATGTCTTAGCTATTGTAAATTGTGCTGCTGTGAATATTGGGGTGCATGTATCTTTTTGAATTAGAGTTCCCTCCAGATATGTGCCCAGGAGTGGGATTGCTGGATCATATGATAAGTCTATTTTTACTTTTTTAAGGAACCTTTATACTGTTTTCCATAATGGCTACACCAAACTACATTCCCACCAACACTGTAGGAGGATTCCCTTTTCTCCACACCCTCTCCAGCATTTATTGTTTGTGGATGTTTTAATGATGGCCATTCTCCCTGGGTAGACTGCCCTAGGAGAACATTGCTCAGATTTATGTTGGAGAATGGTTTGCCTATGTTTTCTTCTAGGTGATTTATAGTATCTTGTCTTATGTTTAAGTCTTTAAGCCATTTTTAGTTTTCTTTTGTGTATGGTGTGAGGGAGTGTTCTAACTTCACTGAATTACATGTGGCTGTCCAGTTTTCCCAACACCACCTGCTGCAGAGACTGTCTTTTCTGCATTGTATATCCTTGCCTCCTTTGTTGAAGATTAATTAATTAATTAAAGTGTATAGGTTTATTTTTGGGCTCTCTATTCTGTTCTATTGATCCATATGTCTTTTTGGGCCAATATCATGCTATTTTAATTACTGTAGTTCTGCAGTATTGTTTGGAGTCTGGAGGGTTATTCCTCCAGCTTCATTTGTTTTTTTTCAGTATTGCTTTGGCGATTCTGGGTCTTTTATGATTCCATATACATTTTAGGATTATTCTAGTTCTGTGAAAAATGTTATGGGTAATTTGATAGGGATCACATTAAATCTGTAGATTGCCTTGGGCAGTATGGCCGTTTTAACAATGTTGATTCTTCCAATCCTAGAGCATGGGATAGCTTTCTATTTTTTAAAGTCATCTTTAATTTCCTTAATCACTGTTTTGTAGTTCTCCATGTATAAGTCTTTCACCTCCTTGATCAGATTTATTCCTAAGTATTTTATTGTTTTGGATGTGATTTTAAAAGGGATTGTTTCTTTACTTTCTTTTCCTGTTATTTCATTGTTAGTGTAAAGAAATGCAGCTGATTTCTGTATGTTAATCTTGTATCGTGCTACCTTGCCAAATTCTTTATCCGCTCTAGTAGTTTTGTGTGGAACTTTTAGGGTTTTATATATATATATATATATATATATATATATATATATATATATATATATATATATATATATTATCATGTCATCCACACATAGTGACAATTTTACCTCTTCTCTTCCAATTTGGATCCCTTTTATTTTTTCTTGCCTGATTGCTGTGGCTAGGACTTCCAAGACTCTATTGAATAGAAGTGGTGAGAGTAGGCATCCTTGTCTTGTTCCAGATTTTAGTGGGAAGGCTTTCAGTTTTTCACCATTGAGTATTATGCTGGCTGTCATAAACAGCTTTTATTATGTTGAGATATGTTCCCTCTGTACCCAAGTTTGTAAGAGTTTTTATCATTAATGGGTGTTGAATTTTATCAATTGCTTTTTCTGCATCTATTGAGATGATTATATGATTTTTGTTCTTTCTTTTGTTGATGTGGTATATCACACTGATTGATTTGCATATGTTGGACCATCCTTGTGTCCCTGGATGACTCCAACTTGATCATGGTGTATGATCTTTTTGATGTGTTGTTGGATTTTATTTGCTAATATTTTGTTAAGGATTTTGGCATCTATGTTCATCAATGATATTGGCCTGTAATTTTCTTTTTTTGGTAATGTCTTTGTCTGGTTTTGGTATCAGGGAGATGGTGGCTTCACAGAATGAGTTTGGCAGTATTCCCTCCTTTTCAATCTTCTGAAAGAGTTCAAGAAGGATAAGTATGAGTTCTTTATATGTTTGGTAGAATTCCCAAGGAAGCCATCTGGTCCAGGACTTTTGTTTGTAGGGAGGTTTTTTAATTGCTGATTCTATTTCATTTCTAGCGGTCAGTGGTCTGTTTCTTCTCGATTCAGTTTTGATGCTCTGTATGTTTCCAGAAACTTGTCCATTTCTTTTAGGGTGTCCAGTTTGTTTCCATATAGTTGTTAATAGTATTTTCTTTTTTTTGTGTTTCTGTAGTAATGGTTGTAATTTCTCCATTTTTCTTTCCTATTTTATTTGTGCTCTTTCTCTTTTCTTGGTGAGCCTGGCTAGAGGTTTGTCAATTTTGTTTACTCTTTTAAAAAGCAAGCTCTTGGTTTGATTAATTTTTTCTATTATTTTTAATCTCTATTTTGTTTATTTCCTTCCTGATCTTTATTATTTCCTTCCTTCTGCTGGCTTTAGGTTTTGTTTGCTCTTCTTTTTCTAACTCTTTTAGGTGATAGGTTAAATTACTTACTTGAGATTGTTCCTGTTTTTGAGGAAGGCCTTTATCACTATGAACTTCCCTCTTAGGACTGCTTTTCTTATAGATTTTGTATGGTTGTATTTTCATTGTCTTTTGTCTCAAGGTATTTTTTAATTTCTTTTTTGATTTCATTGTTGACCTATTGGTTTTTTTAGTAGCATATTGTTTAGTCTCCATGTAGTCATTTTTTTTCTCATTTTTTGTTTTTTTTTCCTTCCCTCCTGAGGTTGATTTCTAGTTTCATGCCATTGTGGTCAAAAGATGCTTGGGATAGTTTCTATCCTCTTAAATTTTTTGAGGCTTATTTGTGTCTGAGTATGTTGTCTATCCTAGAGAGTGTTCCGTGTGCACTTGAAAAGAACGTATATTCTGTTTTTTGGAATGTAATATCCTAAAAATATCAGCTAAGTCTAGCTGTTCTGTTATGTCATTTAGTATCTCTGTTGCCTTATTGATTTTCTGTCTGGAAGATCTATCCAATGGTGTTAGTGTGGTGTTAAAATCTCCTCCTATTATTATGTTCCTATCAATTTCTCCCTTTATTTCTGTTAGTATTTGTTTTATATATTTAGATGCTCCTATATAGGGTGCATATATGATAACAAGTGTAATATCCTCTTGTATTGCTCTTTTTATCAGTATATTCTGTCCTTCTTTATCTTTATGGCCTTTGTTTTAAAGTCTATTTTGCCTGAGTATTGCTACTCCCACTTTCTTGTCATTTCCATTTGCATGAAATATCTTTTCCATCCTCTCGCTTTCAATCTATGTGTTCTCTTCACCCTAAAGTGGGTGTCTTGTAGGCAGCTTATTGTAGGCTCTTGTATTACTATCCAATCTGCTGCTCTATGTCTTTTGATTGGAGCCATTTAGTCCATTGACTTTTACAGTAATTATTGTGAAACAATATCTTAAGAAGTACCACTACCAACTCTCCCACCTTTACTCCCTGTTGCTTGTCACATGAGGCTATTAATACTGTTTTCTTCCTGAGGAAAGTGGAGCTTTAAGGACTCCCTGGCCACCTTGAGGATTTACTTTTGAAGATTGGATCATAGCAGTTTCTTTCCAGACATTTTTCCTCCTATTGACTGCATCTGGAAGTCATTTGGAGGCAGTGATAAGTAGACATCTACAGTAACTGAATCACACAGCCTTTGGAGAAATCTTTGGAATTAAAAGGATATGATCTAGGGAAATACCTTGTGATCTGATTATGGTTGTTGGATACCTAGCTGATTGTTGGTTTTAGACAGGAGCAAAATTAACAAGGAAACATTTTTTTTAAGTGCCATATAATGTCTGTTCCTGAGTTAAGCATGAAATATTATCAGTTGTTTTGTGGGAAAATATGTTAGAGTGAGTAGTTCCTTGAACTATTACTTCTTTTATTTTAGATATATCATTACACATTCATATTAAATCTCCCTTAAAAAGAAGTTTCTTTAAAATTCATTTCAGTATAACTTTTCTGTCTTTTAATTCTACATTCTGAGAAATATAAATTTAGGAATCTTGATATTTAGAACTTTCTCCCTCCTAATTAAATAGAGCATTATAAATCACCTAGCCCAAACCATAATTTTTAGATTAGAAAATAGTTCATCTTTATAGGCAACATGACCTGGATAAGGTCATGCTGAACTAAATCCTGAGGCTTCTGAGTCTTTTTGGTCTTGACAGTAGAGATTGCTGCTTCAAATTATGCGTATACTTTTTGCCTTTAGGCTTTTTTTTTTTTTTTTCCAGAAATTACTGCCAGTTTGGCCGCACCTTCTCTGGATCCAAGCCTGACTGTGAAAGACAGAATGTGGCACCTTCAATCTTGCTTTCGAAAGGAGTCTGATAAAGAACGTTCTGTTATCATTTATGACTTCATCCAGAGCTATAAAATTCTTCTTCTGTCTTGTGGCATCTCCCTGGAACAGAGTTATGAAGATCCTAAGGTCCCCTGAATTATTTAAAAATTTTTTACATTCTTAAAAAATATACATTTTTAATGTTTAGGGTTAATTTTTAAATGACTTGGTATATATTTAGCTCCAAAAATGCAGCTTTAAGTATTTTAGTCACTCCTTTTCCAGTAATCTCACCCACCCAGAAGAGAGTATTATACACCAAATGCCTCTGTATCGCTAAAAACAGAGATATCACAAAATCTAAGTACTAAAGTTTACATCTTTCCTCAGATATTTAAAAGATATTCATTTTGATCATAAGTTCTAAATTTCCTATCTTACAGTAAATTAAAAATAAAGGAACTGTCAGATTTAGATATATGATAGGATATTTCAAATACCCATGAGGTTAGAGGTGGAAAATAGTTAAAAGTGTATAGGTATAAGAGATCAAAAAGGATAGTAGTTAGAGGCTATTTAGCATAGGGACAAAAACTCTTACTATCCCCTAAGAACTTTTCTATATAATAGCAAAGTATGATGCACTCTTCATAATGATGACTCTGAGTTATTAAGGAAAGGGTAATGTGTGTTATTGTAATAAACAATTAACAGTACAATGTGCTTTCAGAAGACATTTATTTACAGTATCATAGCCCTCAAAGGGATATCATTTTTTCCTTCCATTGGTACTAGATACATGAGATGTGTGGAATACTAATTTTGAGTTTAGATATGATACTAATTGGTTGTTATAATCAATATAATCAATAATAGGGTGATTTTTAGCTTCTTAGCTTCTTTTGCTCTTTTGGCAAAGATTTTCAAAGGCAGCATTGAAAGACTTAAACCTGAAACTATATGGGCCCATCTTTATTAAGGTAGTAGATAAACCAAAATCAGCCTTAGTGGAGAAGAGTCCAGCTGCATTTTTAGAAACGTAATTTTTGTTAGTTGAGAGGCACCTGGGTTTCAGGCCTACTTCTGAAGTAGATTAGCAGGAACATTGGAGTAATGGAAACATAAATTTTCCTTCTTTGAAGGCCATTGCTCTTATTGGTATCAAAAATGAGTCCTGTTACAATTATCTTTTCCTTCCACTCTTCTGGAAAGACCACTGAAAAAGTATTAAGTGAAAATGAGAGATTAGAAATGAGCTTTCTTTTTTGCCTTTTTAATTTAAGCGTGCAGAAATGGTCTTTTTGAAAAATCAAGAGAATTTCTGATTGTTATCCCATTCAGGTGGCGTGCTGGTTGCTAGATCCAGATTCCAAGGAACCAACTCTTCACAGCATAATTTCCCGTTTTCTTCCTCATGAGCTTCCACTCCTGGAAGAGATAGAGACTGGCCAAGGAATTCAAAGCCTGGGGCTGAATGTCAGCACCGAGCATTCTGGGCGATACAGAGCATCTGTAGAGTCTATCCTTATCTTCAACTCTATGAATCAACTCAGTTCTTTGTTGAAGAAGGAAAACCTTCAAGGTAAAAATGCAGTTCCTAACATTTCTATGATGTTATAGACTGACAGTTATGTATTTAGCTATTCTTTATCATAGGTGGATAATTTATGATTTTTATGCAAACCCTATCTTTTGATTTTCTAATGCGGGGATCAACAAAGTTCTTTCTGTGAATGATGGTGAATATTTTTCTTTTTGCAGTCCAGACAGTCTCAACCACCAATATTCGGCTCTGTCTGTTTCTATTCATCTTGTTTGATTTTGTAAATAGTTTGCTCATAATTGTGCATAGTTGTGCTCTGTTCTGAGTAATGATACCATATCTGTAATTCTTAGGGCTCTAAATCTGTCATTTGTTGTTTCTGCTGCGTCCCATTCTTATGTCTTTTCTGTCTTGTATTTTTCATACTCTTTTTAAGTTCATACAAGTTTTGATCATTGGAGCCCTACAGGCCTTACTTGGGGGCAGCCTTCCTCTAGAAGCCTCTTTACTCTGACTTTTGCTAGTTATTAAACTACAGTGCATCCAAGGGCTACATTAGCTTTTCTTGAGAGTTTTGGTTCAGGAGTCTGAGAATCAGCTTCTCCTCCTATTGCTATTTCAAAGATCTGTTATCCCCTCAACCTTTTTGCAGTAGGACTCCATTCCCATTGCAACCCTGTTCCTTCCTACTCTCTGTGGATCCAGGCTGGCTCACTTTCACTCTGATTTTGTGTTGCTCTGACTGCTCTTATTCTGACCCTAGTTCTGCGTTTCTCTGGTCCCACATCCCATGAATTTCTACTCTGGTTCTAGGCTTCGAAAGCCAGGCTGTGACTGCTCAGTATCTTCTGACTATTAGAGGCCAGTAGCTCTCACTTGTTTATTTGCTTTAGATGATAGTTACATGTGTCCTTTGAGATTTCTCCCAGTAATTGAGACCAGCAGTACCTCAAAGAATGTGTGTGTATGGAGCTGGGAAGGGCAGGTCAGGGTTGCCCAGAGTCCTAGTAGTAGTCCTAGTAATCATAGTACTGGAAGCGGAAATCTTTGTTAGGATTTTTTCTTAATGATTTAGGATTCCCACAGTGTGTTCTATGGACACTTACTTTTCAGGTTGTTAATAAATATATATAATAAAGAGTTTTATGGTCCAATGGTTTTGGATTTTTGGTTAAAACAAACTTAAATATTTGTTCAGTTTTATTCAGAGCCTTTAGTATATTAACAGCCATCAGAAATATCTTAAGATAATATATAATTGCTGAAATTCATAGGATACAGTGTCTTTCAAACCCACCCTTTTACAGAGTATTTTTGAGACTAATAATTCTAATAAATATACTGGGAAAACTGATTTAGAATGACTGTTCTTTTGAGAAATGTGAACTGATAGAAGAATACTGATTCTTACTTCAGGAATCTTACTCTTTACTCTTTGCTGAGAACATTGGGAAATATAAAACCTTCATATTTGGCTTTGTGCAAGCCTGCATACAGTGGGACCAGGAATACTGGAAATGATTTTGGGGAATTAACCTTTTGTAGTCAGCTTAACAAGATTGGCTACCTTGTTCTTGCTAAGAGTAGAAGCAGAAACATTTTGGGAGAAATGCAGTCTCTTATGATCCAGACTATTCATAAAATTGCTCATTTTACTCTCTGCATAGACACGGATAGTAGTCCAGTGCTTAAGTGGAAATGAAGAAAGTACTTTAATGCCCTTCATTGATGGTTTGAGAGTTCTGTGCAGGAGACTGGATCTTGAAGGATAGCTTAGTAGCATCTCTGATTTTCCTGGAAAAATTCTATGTATGTTTAGGTTAATGATGCTGATCTAGTCACTTAGGTGATGAATTAACATTTTTGCTTTCTTTTTTTTTCCCAGATGTTTTCTGTAAAGTGGAAATGCCCTCCCAGTACTGCTTGGCCTTGCTAGAACTAAATGGAATTGGCTTTAGTACTGCAGAATGTGAAAGTCAGAAACACTTAATGCAAGCCAAACTGGATGCAATTGAGACTCAGGCCTATCAACTAGCTGGCCATAGTTTTTCCTTCACCAGTTCAGATGACATCGCTGAGGTTGTATAATGGAAGTAGGGAATTGAGAAAAGTCTTTTTTTTTTTTTTAAAAACAGTGGTACTGGGATTTAACTCAGGACCTCATGCATGCTGAGCATGCATTCTACCACTAAACTAATACCCACCCCCTAGAAAAGTCATTTTTAGAGTTAAAAATGATTTGTGTGTGTGTGTGTGTGTGTGTGTGTGTGTGTGTGTATTTCCTAAATGTGTTTAACTTAAACACTAAAGATCAGTAAAACAAAACAATCAGTTAACCAGAATACTTTGAAGATAGAGTATTCTAACATCTCCTTTGTAAGTTTATACCTTTATTTATGAATAGGGAAGTAATAAAGAAGGCTTCTAGAATGTATGCTTCATAAGGAGATTTGCCTGGACCAGGAGAGGCACTCAGTAAATATTTGTTGTATGAACAAGAGCCGTCGTGGTAGTTGTATAACAGTATAGATGTTTCTCCATGAAGTTAGTCATTTCATGAACTCTCACCCGTTCCTCATTGCAAAATCTTTTTTTAGAATACAAAATGAGGTATTTTTTTAGATATTAGTAAAAAAAAAAGATTTTTGTGTCTGTTTGCTTTTAAAAACTTAATATTTTTATTGCCTTACATGAATTTTGACATAGTTTGCTCTTGTTTTTAGTTTTAAAGGTTGATGTTCTGTTTACTCCTCTCCCCATACTCCATAAAGGGTGGTTGGGTTGTTTTAGAGGAGTTACAGATTCAGGGTGGGTGCTTACACTTGATAGCTTTGAAGTTCTATTTTCTAGATGTGATTGAGTATTATAGCATATTGTTAAATATTACAGACTTTAAAATCAGACTTCTTGGGTTTACATGCTACCTCCTGTATTTATTAACTAACTCCATGACCTTAGGCCACTACATCAACTCTTTATATCTCAATTTCTTCATCAGTAAAATACCCCGTGTTAGAAATACCTCATGGAGTTGTGAGGAATGAACAATACATGTAAAACAATTAGAAAAGTGCCTCATGGTAAGAGCTCAGTAAATATTATATAAAGGGCATAAAATGTCTCTCTTTTAAGCCAGAGTTAAATGTTTTTTTTTTTAAATGAAGAACTTTGTGGTATACTTTCTCCTAATGACATGGTATATTTGTATTAAATTTAGTGGTGTTTGGGGAGTGTTTTAAAATATTTTCTTTTGATTTCTTTAGTCCAGAAGTCCCTAAGCCAGTGCTTAGCTGGATGCACATAAAATTGCATGGGAAACTTATCAAAAATAATAGAATCTCTGGATTTCAGCACAAGTAGACATAGGGCAAAGGCAGGAATGAGTACCCGTGTAATTCAGATGGGTGCTAAGGCATGTGAGCCTTAGGCCTAGGCCATGGTCCAGCCTAGAATAAAAGTCCTTTGATACTATTGGCTTGTTCTTAGGTTTTCATGTTAAAATGGAAGTTATACTAAAAGTAATCTAACAGTTTCACACAACGACTATTTTATCCTTGGTAATTTTAAGTTGAATCTTTGAACTGGGCAAGATGTTCTTAATCATCTAGAGCTGCAGTTTTCAGTAAAGGAGCCACTAGCCACTTGCAGCTATTTAAGTTTAAATTAACTAAAATTAAATAAAATACATCAGTTAAATTTCCTAACCACATTTCAAGATGTCAACTAGCCACACGTGGCTAGTGGCTGCTATACTGGACAATACAAATATAGAACAGTTTTATTCTTGCAGAAAGTTCTTTTGGATAGCACTGGTCTAGAGGAGGTATCAGCAAACTGACTTGAGGGCCAGATCTGACCTGTCACTTGTTTTTGTAAATAAAGTTTTATTGGAACACAGCTACAGGTGTTCATGTACTTATTGCCTGTGGCTGTTTTCATTCTATAATGGCACAGTTGAAAAGGTGTGACAGGCAGTAAAACCTGCAAAGCTAAAAATATTTATGATCTGACCCTTTATAGAAAAAAAGTTTGCTGATCCTTGGTATAGAAGGACGCACAGGTTAGTGGGAAGAAAAAGGGCTTTAGAGTTAGAAGATTCTGCGTTCTAATTCTTAATTCTACTACTTTCTGGGCATACAACTTTGAGCAAGTTTCTCCAACTGTCCAAACTTTGGAGGTTTATCATAGAGTTGTTATAAGGATTACATGTTAAAGCACCTAGCATAATGGCAAGCACATAGTAAGTGCTCAATAAATATTAGTGTCTCTTGCTCCCAACTAGTTCAATCCCCTCATTCACAGATGTGTTAATTGAGACCTGGAGAGGTAACTTACATTTTATTTATGTGAAGTTTTCATTATTAATTCTGAATGATTCACCAAAAATGGAAGTTTAAGATAAAGAACTTTTAAATATATGACTCGAGATCTTTAAATTGTCTTAATCATGCTAGGTCTTCCTTCCTGGGGTTGTTGATTTATTGTTACTTTATTAATGTCTTATTTTTCCTATTCAGTAATTTTTTTCTCTCTTCTGTGCTGTCATTCATTCATGATCTCTTTGATATCTCATTAGAGTTGCCTAATAAAATACAGGACACTCAGTTACATTTGAATTTCAGATAAACAATGGACAATATTCTAGTGTAAGTATGCCTCATGCAATTTAAATTTGACTGGGCATCCTATAATTTTATTTGCTAACTATAACTCCAATCCCTATGCATGCATATATTCATATCTATATAACACAATCTTTGGACAAATTACTTATTCACATCCATAGTGAGACTCACTACTTTTCATGCCTGAGACCCCAGTTATTCCCACTGCTTAAAACTAGAACCAGATCTTTGTTTCTATCATTACTACTGTTGTAGGGAAACACAGGTATGTCTTTACTTCTACCCCCGTCCCATCTTGTAGAAAAAATTCTTTTCCAAAGGGTTTCAATTTTTAGAACTATTACAGGGAAAATAATCCAAGGTTCATTAAAGCTTACTCAAAGTATGGAAAGGAATGAGTAGAGATAGTAGACAGCGTTCTGAGTTGCCTAAGTTGCAACCCCTCTAATATGAACTAGCGAGTTTTTGGTATTCATGGGATCTTCCCTCTGCCCCAGACCCTGGATCCCTGTTCCATGTAAGCCTTGTTTCTTCAGTGGATGCTTACTGAACCCTCTCCAGCTTTTAGTATTGCTACATTAGATCAGCCACCTTCTCCTGACTTTGTGCCCAGGGACTCTCAGAGTCCAGTCTTGTGGTAATGGAATTAGATGACTCTTTGGGCCCCTTCCTACCTTAATGTTCTCTGATTTTTATGATCACACAATAGCCATGAAGGCGCCCATGCTGATCCTATGGGGCTTAAATGATTGAACAGCCACATTGGTTACCACATCAAGGGGGTATTTAGGTGAGCTTAAAATCCTCAGAGCAACCTAAAGTCTCAATGCCAATAGCATTGCCAGTAGCTTATTTGTCAGTTGTTCAACACAAAGTATACATTCTTGTGTTCTTGACTGTTTAAAGGCCTGGTGTTAATATTAATGTGATACTGACTAAATCTGATATTGACTAAATACGGATAGCCTACTTGACATACAAGACTTCATTGCCATTATTTATTAAATGTGGTAATTTCAGATTGTCCAAAAAAAATTCTTCCAACCTGTATTGAGCAGTATAGGGTTCTTTTTTTCCAAGTAACTTTTTAAAATGTTTTCTGAATGATAATACTTGTGATTTGTTTCTTGACTCAAGAGGCATTAATTTCTTACAGGTTTTGTTTTTGGAATTGAAGTTGCCACCAAGTGGAGAGAGAAAAAACCAAGGCAGCAAGAAAACTTTGGGTTCTACCAGAAGAGGGATTGACAATGGACACAAGCAAAGGCTGGGAAAACAGTTCAGCACTAGTAAGGTGCTCTTTGGGGCAGTCACAGGGCAGAATCTGAACTACTTTTGGCATTTTGGTGAATTGAAAGAATGATGATGAAATCAAGATCCAACATAGCTCACCATTTGAACGTACCCAGATAAAAACAAATTGGTTTGTGGTTCAGCTGCCCACAAAAACTGTGGAGACATTCCAGCATGGAAAATCTGGATCATAATCTGAGTTAGCAGTTGTTTCCTTCCTATCATTAAGACAGTACAAAGGTTTGTAAATTCAGACCTATAGACATTACTTAGTTATTGACATCCACTACTCTTGGGCTTCTAGTATAATATAATTTGTGTGGTTACATGAACCTGAACAAAGATGTGGAAGAATTTTTTTTTTAAGTCAATACAAATAAAATTTTGTTTTTTTCAGTTCCAGAGCAAAATAGTAAATTTTCCATGAATTTGTTTGAAGAATCTAATCTGTTAATTTCAAAGTAAAATTGCTAATCACAGTCCATGGAAACTGTATGCATGTGACATAGGAGAAAAAGGGCTTAATTTTACATTTCTATTGAATGAATTGTTAATGGAAAATAAGGGTAGAAAGTACAGCCATGGAGAGAGCTGTCCAAGTTGCCATTCTGTAGAATTTTGATCGTAATATTATTAACTATGACTTCCCTGCCTTGGGAAAGTTTCCACAGCTTCATCCTGTAGCAAAATGTTTTATTTGATGGCAGTAGCCTTCATACCTCACAAGTTTTAATTCCTTAATGGCTCACTGAAAGTCAATAGCATGGAAAATTTAAAGTTTTAAAAATAAATGTCTTCTGGTTTCCTTGATACAGAAACCATGAAAGTATTGGAGCAAAAAAGAAGAAAAAAAATAAGGGCTGGGAAACTTCCCATCACATGAACAATGGAGGAGAAAAATAAAAAAAGAAGTGATGTAAACTCTTGGGTAGGGTGTGGAGAAGCAGCTACTTCGCTAAGTTGAGATCTCACTGATTTTCTAAAAAGATAGATCTAAATTGATATAATTCAACATTAACATGTTGACATTTTATAATATGTAGTTATTATAAGTTTGTCATTATGGTGATTTCCAAAAAACCCAAATAGTAACTTTGAGTTGCAGATACAGGAGTTAATCACATTAAATTTTGAGACTATGTTATTTACTTAAAAGAGATTCTGGTTTGCTGTGGAATTTGGATAAGAATCTGATCTTAGTATATTTTTTTTGGCAGGATGTTTTAAATAAATTAAAGGCAATACATCCTTTACCAGGCTTGATATTAGAGTGGAGAAGAATCACTAATGCTATTACCAAAGTAGTCTTTCCCCTGCAGCGGGAAAAGCGTCTGAATCCTTTTCTTGGAATGGAAAGAATCTATCCTGTATCACAATCACACACTGCTACAGGTAATGAGAAATCTTAAATATGGATGATATCCAATTGTGCAGAAAAAACTTCATAAGTAGTATTTGCTTATAATGACCAAGGAATTCAAGTGTTGATCATTGGGTTCCATGAAGTCCTATAAACATTTATAAAACACATACTACATCCAAAGCATAGGTGGATGGATGTTACCTAGATACAGAGATGAAATGTAGTGGGATATAGTTCCTGCTTTCAAGTACCATGTGGAGCAACTTGGATGTTTGAGATTGAATGAGAGTATACCTAGGAATTAAATATTTATTTGAGTCAGTGATCTTACCTAATTTCATTCCCAACCCCTCACCTAAATCTCTTAAGATTCTCCCCAAGTTGAATATAAGTAGGCCTGTGGGGGCATATGTATAATAAGGGAGTGTCTTATTTTACTCAATCAGAAAAGAAAGCTATAGAGTCCTTTGGGTGTCTCATGGTCCTCTTGGGATAAGTGTGCATGTAGTCTTGTGAAGAAAAAAAGCATGCTTTCTCTAGGTAGTACAAAGCTCTAAATATTTGCCAAATGCAATGTGCAGTTAGAAGAAAGGGCAGTATTAACTCCTTCATAGGGGAGGCATTTTAGTTTGGTGGTATCGAATGTGGACTTTGATATTAGAGTTTTACAAGGTTTGCATCCTGGTGCTGTGAATCTTCAGACAAGGTACTTAACCTCTCCGTGCCTAAGTTTCCTCATGTATAAAACAAGATAATAATAGTCCTACCTCACTGGGTCATCTCGATGATTAAATAGATTAATACTTGTAAAGTGTTTAGAATAATGTATGGTACATTATCAGTTGTTGCTGCTATTGAGGATGGGGGCACCATGAGGAGCTGCTTTTCTATCTGCTTGCTTAGTCTCTATTCTAAACAATTTTCCCTTCTTCCCTATTTAGTTAACCACTTGGTGCTTCTTGCCAATTTCTTGCCTTGCTGATATTTGTTTCATTTTGAAACATATGCTAATACTGTAAACTTATTTAAAATAAATCCTTGTTGGTGAAAAAAAAATCAACCTAGAGCTCTCACAGCTCTTACACATTTATTTGTTGCTTATAAAGCGGAAAGTCATCAGTTCTTTTTTGTTTTCCTGATTGGTTTTCATCATACTATACCTGCATTTAAAGAATATTTTAAAAATACAAACTTACCTAAGCATAGTAAAGCCATTTCATTATTAGAATTTGTCTCTGTGAAGCCACATTCATATTCTTTAGTTTTAACATCTAATTAGTTTCCCAATGGTACCTCCTTAATCCAAACAATAGACCTGAATATTAAATATTATTATAGAAAAGAAGACAGTGTGTTGAGGCACAAAGAGACTTGGATTCTTACCTCTGCTACTTGTTAGCTTTGTAAAATTGAACAGGCCATTTAATGCTGTAAGTATATTAGTATCTACCATTAATTGAGCACTAATTTTTGCTAAAATCTAAATAACGAAGACATAGTTTTCAGGAGTTTATTCAGAAAAACTATCAGAGGTTCTTAAAATGTCCGATTCATCAAAAGAAGATGAAATTATATACACTAGCTAGTGGAGAGCCTGTTACAATGAAGAGTATCATAAAACAGGATTCTGTGTCTTTATATATCTACTATAAAAATTGCAGTAAAGAGTCAGTTACCCGGACTTTTTGAATACTGCTTATGTATTTTAGAAAAATTCATCCCATAAGTAAATAAGTAAAATGTAAAATATTGGGGGGAAAATAAAGACCATGAGCATTAAAATAAATAGCTTTCTGTTTCCTAGAAAATTCATTAGCCACCTGATTCTGGTTTCTAGCCATGTGAGTACTATAATTGATTTTCTTGATGAGTGATGATGAGGAGGAGGAAAACTGGCCAGGTGATATCTAGAAGATGATGTTCCAGTCACTGTCTCTCACTGCTACTCCATCTGCTGCATTAGCTAACTCCTCTGGCCTCACTGGTCTCTCTTCAGCACTCAGTTGCTCTTCTGCTTCAGATCCTCCTCTCTCTATCTTGTACGTTCCTGACTTTTAAAGGCTCTGACAGTCATTTCTTCTAGGATCCATTTGATTTGTCTTTATTCACTAGTATAGCAGTTAGCATTTTATAGTGCTAACTTCTTGGCACTCATTTTAGCATAGAAACAGTACAATTTATCATATTACTTATTATCATGGGATTGTTTTCTATAGAGCTAGGTAAATATGAAACATAGTAGTTTAGCTTATTCATATACTTACTTACAGTGGGATTGGTCTTGTACTTACTTTATTATTGTTAGACACATGAACATAATGAAAATATTTCATTTAAATTTAAATTTATTTCAGTTTAACATTTTTAGGATAATTTAGAAATGGTATTACTGTTAAAATAAATGTCAGATTACCCTTATCCTGTCCCCCCTATTTTTCTGTCTTTATTCTGCTTGCTTTTAGGACGAATAACCTTTATAGAACCAAATATTCAGAATGTACCAAGAGATTTTGAGATCAGAATGCCAACACTAGTAGAGGAAAGCCCACCTTCCCAAGCCCTAGGCAAAGGCCTACTTCCTACAAGCAGGTAGGCTCTATTTCTCTTCATTTGTGTTTATATACTTCTGGGAGTATGAGTGGCTCAAAAATAGCCTGTTGGACAAAATAATGGAATTTGTTTAATTTTCTGTTCCAGGCATACACATTTCTTTTCTGGGAACTACCCATTTCAAATCCTGAGTTTGTCTATAAAGAAGCTAGTTGATGGTAAAAAGCTGAAAACCTGGCCACTAATTAAATCAATCAGCATAGAATTCTTGTTTCACTCGACACTCAAATACTGAAGGGACAAGTTTACAGTGTCTGGAACATCCCCCTTCCTTCCATCCCCATATGCTCACAAAAGGAAAAAAAGCACAGATCATTTATATTAGGTATGGTTAATGAGATTTGTTGAGTTGAGTGAAGCAGTTTGTGGGAAAGGTTATTACAGAAATATCTTCCTTCCTGTTTCATTGAATGTTTGCTGAAAGAGGTCTAGTATCTTCATTAAGCTTCAAAGTGAATTTCAAATAATAAGCTTTTTAAATTTCTTAGATGGAAATACTGACTTTACTAAAAAGAAAATCAGACCATTTTCATATATTTGAGACTACTTCATGTCCAGCTAATGATTTTGTTTGCACAGCAGAAGAGGAAAAAAGAAGGGCTGTGGTCTGAACCGCAGGCATCAGGCACAGATGGGAGAGAGAGCCTCAGACAGAGGAATGCCTTTTTCAGTTAGCATGAGACATGCCTTTGTGCCTTTCCCAGGTAAGATTTTTGAGTTTCTTATTGCTGTGGGAATGGTTTTCAAAGCAGTGATAAAACCTGAATTATGAATAAGACTCAGAAGAATGCATTGGTCCCTACATCTTTCCTCTCTTTAGTGGAGCCTGTTTTTCCCCTGTTTCCGGGACAGTCAGTCAGCATTGTCTTCGTGATCTGCTCTGTGGGAAACTTTTGTGCTGTTTGCTCAGCAGCCTGCTGAAATCATGTTATCGTAGGTCATTTACAATGTGTTTAGTTAACTATCTAAAGTAAGTTTAGATTTAAGTCTACTGTCTTGTCATTTGTATTTTGTTCTATCTGTTCATTGTTCTTTTTTAAAATTTTTAGATGACTATTTTTATTGTTTTATTTCCTCTCGCTTTATTAACTATATATCTTAGATATTTTTAGAGTTTACAGTATGCATCACATCACAGTGTAGCTTCAAATAATTTTATACCACTTTATCCATAATGTAAAGAGTTCTTTTTCAATTTCCCTTTTCTTGTAATAGATTTTCCTGTAACTGTTATAAAAAACTTTGCTATGTAGGTATTGGTTTTGCTTTAAACAGTTATTACCTTTCAAAGAAATCAAGAAACAAAAAAGTGTCTTTTCTTTATGTCTGTCTTTTTTTTACCCTTTGACACTCTGTTCGTTGGAGTAGACTCAGGTCTCCATTTACTGTCATTTTTCTTCACCCTGAGTACGTTAAGTCTTTTTTGTAGCACAGTTCTACTAGTAATGATTTCTCTCAGCATTTCTGTGTCTCTTTATTTATTTATTTTATCCTTTCTTTTGTAAAATATTTTTATTTGACATATATTAATGGGTTTACAGTCTTTCTCTTTTAGCACTTTAGATATGTATTTCCATTAGCTTATGGTTTGTATTATTTCTGATGAGAAATACACCACTATTTTCTTGCTATTCCTTTAAGCATAATACATCTTTTCCCTAGATGCTTTTAAAATTTTTTTTCTTTTAATTTGTTATTCAGTTTTAGCAATTTGATTTGCTTGTGAGTCTCTGGGTGGTTTTTCTTGCTTTACTTCTTAGGTTTTTGAATATGCTGAATTTCCTGAGTTTGCTTAGGTTTTTTAATTTTTTCCCCTTAATCTGTGTGCTTATATGTTTCATTAAATTTGGAACATTTTCAACCATTATTTCTTGTAATAATTTTGATCCCTGTCTCTTTTTTCCTAGTACTCCAATCACATATATGTAATACCACTTTATACTGTCCCACAGATCACTGAAACTTTTTTTTCTTTTTTATTCCCCTATCCATCTTTTTTTTTTTAAATTCTGTGCTACAGTGGATATATTCCATTGACTGTTTAAATGTGATCTTTAATTCTACAGTGTCTAGTTGCCTGTTACATCCTTCTAGTGAATCTTACACTTCAGGTATTGTATTTTCAGTTTTAGAACTTTCATTTAATTTTTTGTATAGTTCCATTACTTTATTGCAATTCACTATTTGTTCCATAGTTCCTATGTTCCATGTTCCTCATTTCTATATTTCTTTAAATTACTTAACATATTAAAATTCCATCATCTCTATAATATCTGGGTCATTTTTCTAATGATTGAATTTTCTCCCAGTCACATTTACATTTTCCTGATTCTTCATACGTCTAGTATTTTTTTTTCAATTGTATGCTGGACATTGTAGTTAGTACATTGTTGACTCTTTGGATTTTGTAATCTTCAGATAGTCTTTTCTTTTGGAAGGCAGCTAATTTGCTTTCACATCAGTTTGACCATTTTGAGACTTTTAAAGCTTTGTTAGCAAAAGTTTAGAGTAGCTTTTACTCTACTGCTAGGTTAACCATTATTAGATGTAACTCTATGGGCAGGTCTCTACTTTGCTCAAGTTGTCCAACAAGGTCTCTCTATCTCAGTCTGGTCAGAGCTTGAACATCTTTCAGCATTCAGGAGTATGTTGTTCAAGTAATTGTTCAGCTGATAGCTGAACTTTGGTAATAGTTATTTCTTTAGTGTTCATTCTTTGCCTGATTCCCTGAACTTTCTCCCTGCAGTTTAGTGTTTGATCGACATCCAAAGGGATTACTGTGCATATTTCTGGTGACCCGTTTATGCACAGTTCCTTTCTCCAAATTTCACAAATTCCAGCTGCCTCAATAGGCCCAGTTTGCTTTCTCTGCTTCCTCAACTCAGAGACCACATGCTTTGTTTCATCTCTCTTTCCTTATACTGCCTCCATTCAAAAGTGCCTCCATTCAGAAACATGAGGCAGTTGCATGGTACCCACTATCTCCCCTCTCCCCTCTCCTTCCCCTTTCTCAAGGATTGTAGTCCTGTGTTGACAATTGTCCACTCAGCATCTGAAAAGAGTTATTTCATATATTTTGTCCAGTTTTATTTTGGTTATGACAGGAAGGCCATAAAAATTGTGGTCATTTGCTTTAAATCAGTATTTATATATTTTTGAATTGGTTATTCATTTACATAGTTCAGAAATCAAAATATATAAAAGGAATCTATTGAGAAACTTTGCTTCCTTCTATGTCCTAGCTACTCTATTTATAACTCTTAATTACCTATTTGAGTTTCTTATATTTCCTTCCAGTATTTCTTCATGCAAATATGAATACATACTATTTTTTCCCCTAGTTTTAAACAAGTGTAAGCATTCCACAGGCACTGTTGTTTGCTTTGCTTTTTAAAATATTTTTATATGGAAGATTTGTGATTATCAATAAAGAGATTGAACATAAACCAGTGTAATCTGTGTGCAGGTAATCTTTGCAGCAAACTGTAGACTTGTTTATTGAGTCATAGATTAAAAACCTGTTTAATTCTGATAGAAATTATCAAATTGCCATCTAATGGGCACAGTTACCACTTACTTTGCAGTAACAAAATATGAATGTTTTTCTACAATCTTGACCCAGAATGTGCTGTCCAACCTCTGGAATTTTGCAGGATAAGTAGAAAAAAAAAGTTTCTTACTATAGATTTAATTTGCATTTCTTTTATTGTGAATGAAGTTAAGCATTATTTAATGTTGTTAAGGCTCTTTTGTTTTTATTATTTCTGTGAACTGCCTGTTTATACTTTGTTCTTGATTTGTAGCACCTCTTTTCTATAATATGTTGAATCCTTTGTGATATCAGTTGCAAATATTTTTCCTTTTTCTTTTACCCTGCTTTTACTTTATTTATTTCATTTTGTTTTTGCCATGCATATCCAATCATTTCTAGTCCATAGATAAATTATTTGAATCCTCTTAATAACCATTCTTCACATATAGAGCACTTGATTTTTTGTTTTGTTGAACAACTTTAGTTTCAAAACAGAGCACACATTTCTCTCCAGCCCCCTTAAAATGTGCACATATTAGAAACCAGTTTCTCCATTCATTCTTTCATTCATTCTTTCAACAACCGTTTGTTAAGGGCCTATTATGTGCCAGAAACTGTGCAAGGTTTTCTGTAGAATGCAAAAGATTAAGTCTCCTACGCCTAATGACTACGTGGGAGAAGCATGAAAGAACCATTTTAGATTATGTGTCAGTGCTTTAGGAACACTGAGGAAAGCACTACCGCAGTGGTTAAGGGGCAGAGGTCAAGGGTGACTTTACATACATTATACATACTCGACAGCTAAGCAAAAAAACTTCGCATGTTGTAGAATTGAATTGAATCATATTAAGAGCAAGGTTTTTGGCTTTTGGATACATTATTTCATGGTTCTGTGTTTGAACTAAATTTCTGTTATCCTGCTCAGTGTCATAAAACTTGGGGTTTTTTTTGTGCCAACTTTTCTAAAATTATTTCTATTTCAGGTGGTTTAATATTAGCTGCTGATTACTCTCAACTTGAGCTGAGGATCTTGGCTCATTTATCCCATGATCATCGTCTCATTCAAGTACTAAACACTGGAGCTGATGTCTTCAGGAGTATTGCAGCTGACTGGAAGATGATTGAGCCAGGATCTGTTGGGGATGATCTGAGGCAACAAGCAAAACAGGTGACCTTAGTGAACATGCCTAACATAAATGAGGAGAATTTTAATGATTCAAAGAAAATTTTTTTTAAACTGTCTCAATCATTTGCAGTTGAAGAGTGATTTCTCCATCTTTGGGTCTTTCACATTATTCATCTGAGCCTATCTCATGGTATTCATTATATTCTATGTAGAGCCAATAGAAAGAATCAGACTTAGTCTGGGGCTACTTAGTTTCAGGAAAGCCATTTACATTAGTGATAGATATTGTGGTGGTGGTGGTAGATGTTGTGTGTGTGTGTGTGTGTTTTTAAAATCTCCTTCTAGCCTCTAAGCACCCTTATGCTTATCTTTCTATATTCACACAGCATTAAGCCACAGTGCTTTTTATAGAATGGTGCTCTCTCATATTTGTTGGAAAATAAATGTTGCTGAGCTATGGATTATAATTAATAACTAATAGTTTTTTAGTTTTTTTGAGGCCATTGGTTAGCTCAGCTGCCCATGAAACTTCATATTGCCCTTGGACTTTTCAAATGGGTCCATATTAATTCCTATTCCTGGATGACTGTCAGGCACAGGGACAATCAGAGTCCACAATTACACCATTTCCTCCAGACTTAACACTAATACTTCCTTACCAAATGACCTGTGAGAAATATGATGCCATTTTCAAGAGAGCAGGGTTGTTGGCTGAAGTAAAGGCACACCACTTCCACCTCCAAGATCCTGCTTTGCTAGTTTTACATTTACACTTCTAGCTACTCATAACTATAATTCTTGACTGGCTCAGTAAGGATGAAACACTTCCTCTCACCACTGGTTACTTAACACCAACACTTGTTCCTCCCATTATTTAGAAAGCCAGCTTTGTCCTATTGAATCTTCTCAGGGGTCACGCATTTAGCAAGCATCAAACCCTAGGTTAATTAGATCATATTCCAATATTTAATACTCATAATAAATTTGTGAAATAGATATTATTATCCCCATTCTATATAGGAAGACACCAAGGCACAGAAAATTAGTAGTTTGCTTAAGGTCATACAGCTGTAAATAGTGGAGCCAGTGTAAGTTCAGAATGCCAGAACGTAGACATTCTGACTCCATAATCTAAACATTTATCCATAGATGATAGCTTTTTCTATTTAATAAGTTATTGCATGATTTAATGTTGTTTATGCTTTTTTTTCCTTTTTTTCCCCTGAATTATCATGTGCTGACCGTCTAATCTAGATCTCTGTTGCTGAGATCTCAGACAGCACTAAGTAATATCTGAGTTAAAAAAAAAATATAGAAAGACCAAAAAAGAAAACCGGAGAGGGAAAAAATCCATCTCAATGTAATTTAAAAAAAAAAGTATTTTGGAAAGTATTTTGAAAGTATTTTGGAATTCTGATAATCATTTTTTGCAAGTTATCTTTTAAAATTTTATTTACCAATGTTTATATAGAGCTTACCTTATGTCATGCAGTTTCCTGAACATATATATAATAATTCATCTAATCCTAACATTGTCACGATGTAGTTATTACTATCCTCACTTTATGGTTGAAAAAAAATCAAGATATAAGGTAGCCTTAGTAAGATAATACCTCTTGTAAATGATGGAACTAGGATTTGAACCCAGGCAATAATTATTATTAAATCAGAGTTTCTTTATTGACTGGTTTAAACCATTTTCCTTCACTACTTCCAAAACTTTCTCAAGAGTTTGTATTTAACCCAAATAAATTCTGTTATTGTGGGATTTCAGGTGGCTGTAAGATGAAGAGGATATTTATTTCCAGTGAAGTCCCCCCCATTATGAAGTCATGTAGTCTACTCTTTCTGCTCTTTTAGTCCTATCGAAAGGTGAGGAGAGGGATGTTCATAATGCTTCTCTTTCCTGACTTCTAGGCAGTAGTTTCTGACTCCTTTAAGCAGTAGTTAATGAGGTATTAGGAGTAGAAAGCTGTTCTGAAGACTGCTGGATAAATGCTAGCGAGAAATAAATTTTTCCTTTTAAATCATTAGGGTTATTTTCTTAACACACATACACTCACATGCATTCGTATTCTGCCCTTTCTTCTTTTCCTCCCCCGACCTCAAAAAGAATTGCTAAAAGGCAGAAAAAGATGTTCATTGGATATCCGCTTCTATGGATCTTACCCATGAAAAGCAAATCTAATCATTTCTTTGACTCACTGTGAAAAGTTTACCAAATTTCAATCCTAATAAACTTTTTATGTTTGCATTTTATGTAGTTATGACCTTTAACTTACATACTGAGTGTGATGAGTCCCTTTCAGATTTGCTATGGAATCATATATGGAATGGGAGCTAAGTCTCTGGGAGAGCAGATGGGTATTAAAGAAAATGATGCTGCTTGCTACATCGACTCCTTCAAAACCAGATACACTGGTAAGGAAGCCTTGAGTGTTATTTATCTTCTAGATACTATTCGTCTTAACTCTCTTTCCATATTATATTAATTCTTGTTAAAAAATAAAAATAGGATTTTCTATTAACATTTCTAAGAGAAGTTTTCATCAAGCATTGTAAATTAAATAATATTAATTGAATAACTAATTAAAATAACCTTACTTATTATCATTATTTACAAAGATGTGCTTTTTTCATAAAAGGAGGGACAGAAATGGAATAGTAAAATGCAGTTAATGTATGTGCTACTATGTCATTGTGAGTATCTCATAAAATATAGGACTTGTCCTGTGCTTTGGGTTTGTATAGCTTTAGCTTGAAACAATAAACTGTTGATTAAATGTACCAGAAACTGTGAGAGAACAATTGCTATTATAGAGCAATTTGAATAACAATAAAATTCACATTTTTAGGTGTATAGTTCTATGAATTTTGACAAGTGCACACATTCATATAATCTACACTACAACCGATAGGGAAACATCACCCCATCACCTTAAAAAGTTCTTTTTTGCCTCCTTTGTAATCAACCCTGTCTCCAGTCCCCAAAAAGAAAAACTTTTACTCACACATGACATGATCTTGTGCGTAGAAAACCATGTGAATTCTGTAAAAACAACTACTAGAACAAATAACTAAATTTAGCACAGTTCCCACCATACAAGATCAGTTTGTAAAACTCAGTTGTACTTTTATATACTAGCAATAAACAATTCATGAATAAAGTAATAATAAAACCCTTACAATAACATCAAAAAGCATGAAATACTTGGAGTAAACTTAACATATGTGCAAGACTTTACTGAAAACCCCAAAGCAATTCTGAGAGAAACCGAAGAATACATAAGTAAATGTGAAATTTACCGTGTTAATTTATTAGAAGGCACAATATTGTTATGATGACAGTTCTCTGTAAATTGTTCTATAGATTCAATGCATTTTCAATCAAAATATCATTAGACTTTTGTGTCAAATTTGACAAGCTGTTTCTAAATTTATATGGAAATTCAGAGGGCTTGGAATAACTAGAATAATTTTGGTGGGAAAAATACAATGCTGAGTATTTACAGTCCTTAGCTTCAAAACTTATTATAAAACTACAATAATCAGGATAGGCATAAGAGTATATATAGAGAACAATGAAACACAACAGAGCATCCAGAAATAGACCTATACATATATGATGAACTGATTTTCAACAAAGTTGCTGTGGTAATTCAGTGAAGGAAAGATGGTCTTGTCAGCAGTTGGTGCTAGAGCAACTGGATACCACTATGGGGAGAAGAACCAAAAAACTTCTACTTTTATCTCACTCTATATTAAAAAAATTAACTTGATATGAAGAGTAAACTTAAAAGTAAAAGCTAGAACTAGAAACCTTCCAGGATAAAAGGGAGAGGAGCTTTGTGACATAGAGGCAGCAATAGTTTCCTAGGTGATAACACTGAATTAACCATAAAAGATAAATATTGATAAAGGACACCATTAAGAAAGTATAAAGGAAGCCACAGACTTGAGAGAAAACATTTACAGTCGCTATTATCTAACAAATGACTTGAGTCCAGGATCTATATATTTAAAAAAAAACCCAAAACAAACTTACAACTCAAAGTAAAGAAGCAAACAGTTCAATAAAATTAAGTTCAAAAGATTTGAATAGACACTTCATAAAAGAAGATACATGAATAACTATCTCAAGTATTATCATCATTAGTCCTCAGGAAAAGCAAATTAAAACCACAAAGATACCATTAAAAAACACTAGAATGCTAAAAACATTGTGTATATTTTACATTGCTGGTTGGGCTGTAAAATGGTACAACCACTTTGAAAAACAGTATGGCTCTTTCATATAAAGTTAAACATACACCTAACCTTATGATTCTGTAATTTACTCTTGGATTTTTACCCAAGAAAAATGAAAACATATGTCCAAAGGAAGACTTGCATGTGAATGTTGTAGCAGTTTTATTCATAACAGCCAAAGACTGGGAATGTTAAACAACAAAAAATCAAGAGAATAAATGTTAAAAAGTTTTTTCCCAGTTTTATTGAGGTATAATTGACACATAGCACTTTATAAATTTAAGGTGTACAGCACAATATATCATGGAATGTTTACTGCAATAGATTTAGTGAACATCCATCATCTCATATTGATAGACATTAAAGAAATGGAAAAAAATGTTTTTCTTTGTGATTTTTTCCTCTTAGGATTTATTCTCTGAACAATTTTCATATGTAACATAAAACAGTGTTAATTGGCTTTATCATGTTGTGCATTACATTCCTAGAATTTATTTATCTTATAACTGAAAGTTTGTAGCTTTTGACCATCTCATCTAATTCCCACTCTTCCCACTCCCTGCCTCTGTTAGCCACAAATCTAATCTCTTTTTCTATGAGTTTATTTTTGAAGTGTAATTGACTTACAAACTGTGTTAGTTCTTGGTGCACAACATAGTGCTTCAGTACTTCTATACATTTCAAAATGATCACCATGATAACTAGTTGTCATCTGTTAACCATAAAAGATAACACATAGTTATTGACTATATTCCTCATGCTGTACATTTCATATTTGTGACTCATGTATTTTGTAACAAAGTTTGTTCCTTTTTCTTTAAAAAATAGACTTTATTTTTTTAGCACAGTTTCAGGTTTACAGCAGAATTGAGGAGAAAATACAGAGTTCCCACATAGCCCTCCCCACCCACACATACATACTCCCCTACCCTCAACATCCCTCATCATTGTGGCATATTTGGTACAATCAATGAACCAACATGGGCACATTATTATCAACCAAAGTCCATAGTTTACATTATGGTTCACTCTTGAACCATAATGGTTCATTCTATGGGCTTTGACAAATGCGTAATGACATGTAACCATCATTATAATATCATACAGAATAATTTTATTGCCCTAAAAATCCCTTGTGCTCCATCTATTCATCCCTCCATCCCTCTCCCCAAACCTGTAGAAACCATGATCTTTCTTTTGTTTCTGTAGCTTTGCCTTTTCCAGAATGTCATTTGGTTGGAATCTTTTCAGACAGGCTTCTTTCATTTAGTAATATGTCTTTTAAATTTCTTCCATATCTTTCATGGCTTGATGGCTCTTTTTTTTCCACAGCACATATATTTTGAAATTTACATATATGTA